AACTTGGAGCTGCCAAGCTCTTCATCAAATTAAGTGTATCGCTTATGTTCTTCTCTGACATTCTCATGACGAGAGTTATGACGACACATTTCTCGGGTCTTGACCATCCAAGTGGAGACAATAGCCTAATTAATTCTTAGTTTCTTGATACTGTCCATGAGGAGTAATCACAAAGAATGAGGATTTTCTGTAAGGCGCTGTAGTCATTGACGTTATTGTTCAGGTGATCCTTTGATTTTGAATTGAAAAAGAATTAAAAAAATCAAGAGGTTGTGGAAGAAGCGAATCCCGTGCAGACTCAAGAGGAGCTAGCGCATCGTATGATAAGGTCCAGTTTGTTGTTGGTGTTTACGACTTTCTACCTTCTTCAGCATAAAATAGTGAAACGACATTGTGAGTCAGCAAAAGATTTGCTGCATTGAGGCTAAACTCCAAATTTCAGGTTGCGTTAATGTACTCTTTGTTGGATTTATGAAGAGGTATTGCGGTTTTTGAGATGTCGCTTAGAAACACATGACCATAAGACGTGGCATAACCCCAAGGCAGCACCATGCTCTCACTGTTGCTCGCAGGCAATGATTTGCAATAGGTTTCTCAGCGTTTTGGGAACATGCAAAGTCTGCTAATTTGTTATTCAATAGAATTAGCAGTAAATGAGAAAATGTGATAATCTTACGTTGTGCTCAGATTCGATAAAACAATTTCACAGTATAAAGCTGATCACTTCATTCCGGGCAAATGCCACTACTTGGATAACGAATTTAATGAGCAACATAAATAGTGAAGATCAACCAAATACGATCTTAGGTGAAATCTGCTTAGCACTTGTATGCACAACTATAATACTACAAGTAGGAAAATCCATTGATAAAATAGCAAAACAGTAAATAAATATGCAGGTAGGTAATAAATATGTCAAACATGCATGTAGTTAAAAATTCTTAACTTAATTCACTCTTTATCTGTTTAAATTGGCTTGTAGCAGTTTATAATACTGAATATAAATAGATGAACGAACAAATGAATAATGGCATGAAGAAGTTTATAAATAACCGAATTTATCAACTGATTAATGAGTGAACAATTGAGCCCACGAGTCAATAAATCCCAATCCAGGCCTTATTGACCGGAATCATTGAACAAAATTCCTAAATAGCGGGGTACGAAAGCGAACAAATGAGCGAATGACCGAGCGTACGTATGAATTTATCAATGAATGGTTGGTAGGGCGTTCGAATGAACGGACAAACAAAAGAAGGAATGAACCAGTGAACGAAAGAAGGAATAAATTTACGAATTATTGAATGAAAAATCGAATGAACAGACAAATAATGGAACAGATGAACGAACGCTATTGCTTGAATGACCACCAAAGAAAACAATACATTGCGAAACGCCGCATTGCATAGGACGCATGCGTGAAACCGACAAAGCGAATCACAAAATGCATTAATCGCATAATTACAAAGCCCAATCAGATTAAAATTCCAGTATCTACGGCAACCAAAACCTCAACTAGCAAGTTCATGCTTAGCTTTGAGGCTCATATCGCTGATCTTCGAGAGGGTATATTCTGGATAATGCTTTGGTATATGTGAATCTCGTAGATGATGCTCAGGCACACGTAGACAGGCACATCCAAGTTTAAGGTGCAATGGATGAGTGTTATTAAAATAAACGCTCTTCTCCAAGCGAGTGTCGCTATACATCACTGTTCGATTAACTATTTTCGAAGTGTATCGCTGCATGGAAGCCGTTTATTATGAAGATCTGCCTGGATGATTGTCCTCATGACTTT